CCTGCAAACACCTGTCAAATGTGTGTTCAGAGTTGCAGCTCTATGATTGGGCTCATCAGACACACAATCCACAGATCCCATGACCAGTGAAATGGAATATTCTAGGTGAACAGTCACACTGTTTAGTGAGTGATTGCCAATGATGACGATGACAATGCATTATGTAGATAGTACACTCTGCAGCCAGTGTGTGTCAATGGTGGAATGGGATGTTCATTTCAACATTACGTCTGTTGATGGAAATATCTAGTAGAATGCTCACTTACTTGCAAATGTCTTGGCACCTAAGGAAACATATGTCATAGTTTTAAAAGGTAAACCATCCTTCTCCTTTGTAGACCCAAACAGCTCATTGATGTGCGATATCTTGTGACCTTGCTGAATATGAGAACTCTTGGGAGATGTTCTCCGATTGTATTGAATTAACATTGTAGGTCGGATGAGCAAAGAGTTGTATATCCAATGTGATGGAGTTTTAGAATAATAAATGAGAAATTCAATTAAAAGAACCATCATACTTTCACAATCACTGTCATCTCATCATCCTATGTAAGGTTAATATTATTTAAAGCTCATTGTTTTTGACAGTTGACTGGGAAAGTTTGCACTCGCTTGCTAGCAGTGAAAATTGAATTGATTTGTGCAGAGGTGTATTTTGAAATCTCAAGGTGAAATCTGTGAAACGTAGAGACATATGAATAGATGCCATTGTCTGCAAATTGTGTCTATCACTGTTCTTAATTTTCTTTTCTCCTTGTTCTTGTTCCATCATGAACATGCTGACTTTGTGAAGCTCTCTTTCTGTGGTGGTTGCTGTCAGGTTCACTTGGACATCATTTGTGACCTGAACACAGCTCATGTCTCTAATCAAATGAATTGGAACCCTGGATAGCGACCAAGAAGGACAGCATATTTATTACTTTCAAAGACAAAAGAATTGCGGATGCTGTAAATCAAACAAAACAGAAATTGATGCAAAAGCTCAGCGAGCCTGGCAGCTTCTGTGAAGAGAAATCAGAGTTAACGTTTCGTGTTCGGACTCAAAACGTTAACTCTGATTTCTCTTCACAGATGCTGCCAGACCTGCTGAGCTTTTCCAGCAACTCATATTTTTGTTTGTGCTTTTCTTTAGTTTTTTCTTTTCCTTTATCCAGAAGTGCTGTTATACACAACTGAACATTTGTTTTCCCATCACCAAATCACCTCTGGTTTTTCTTTCCTCTATTAACCACCACTAGTAACTCATCCTTTTTTTTCCAGTTGATTAATTTACCTATAAAGCCTGTTCAGGGTAATTCTCACTGACAAAGGTGAGGGAGAGGCAGGGAGCTAAATCACAATGAAGGGGATACAAAGCACTCTACCCACTGCGGTGCCTTCATCTCTCTCTAAACGCATCAAGAGTATTGGTGGATACCGCATGCTCCCTGTCCCAGGACACCTGGTCACGAACATAGCCACAGAAGATGGGTAGACAGCAGCTATGACCCCCTGCACTGCCCGCTGCATAGACAGGTAAATGACCAACTTGGTCAGGCCCATGAGGCAGTCCTCTGATTTGCCCAAACCCCTGTGCACCAGATGCCCAAAGATCAGGAGCATGGGTCGAAAATGCTTTTTTATAAACCTAGAGAAAATTGCAGCACCTGCTTTCTGCTGAGTTTTCCCACATCTCCCAATCTTTTTGGTGAACCATGGATATTCAAGATGAGAAGAAAGAAATTTCATAACCTCGAGTAACTATAAACATTGGAGTCCTTTTTGAAGAGTCATTGTAGTTGTGGTGCAGGAAACACAGCCAATTTGCACACAACAAGATTCCACAAGCAATGATGGGCTGAAAAGCCTTTCCTCTGTGCTGTAGACCTCTATGATTCTATGAGGTGATAAACGATAAACTGTTGGTTGAAGGATAAATGTTAACTTGGGCACTCTGGTGCACACCAGAACCAATACTTATGTGGTTTGCAGAGGTAGTAGCTCAGACCAGGGACTGGAAACTGGACTACCTCTATGATTTGTTCTGAAAACAAAAAAATGTTGGCAATCACAGCAGGTCAGGCAGCATCCATGAGTGCAGAGCAAGCTAACCTTTATGAGTCTAGATGACTTGAGGTTGTTTGGCTCACCGAGCTGGTTTGTTGTTCCGCAGACGTTTCGTTACCATGCTTGGTAACATCCTCAGTGCAGCCTCTG